GCATCATTAAAAGATCCCAGATATAGCAACAGTATTCCATACAAGACTGGATTTGAGATTTATAGAGATAAATAATAAAATTTGGAGTAAGAAAGCGTTAAGCTCGATAAAGAGATGCAACCTTAGCAGATGCTATTTTTGCAAATCAGCTGTAGAATGAGAAGATCAAAATCCATATTGATGATCAGAAAATAAGTTATTAGATTCAAGATGAGGGATTAAGTGTTTGTTGATTAAAGATTCAAAAACCTTGCTTATGATAGGAAAAAGACTAATGTAGGGTAGTTAGATGAATCAGATCGCTCTCCAGAATTTTTGAAAAAAAGGGATAACAGATGCTGGAAAACAAGACTCTGATAAGCACTTATTAAATACTTTTGAAAGTATAGACAACAGCACTAGAGAACACTTCTGCAAGACTATAACAAGTATGTTGTCTGGGCCACAAGCTGTGGAAGAGTCTAAGCAGGAAATCATTTTAGATACAAAAGCTGGAGTGATACAAATGTCAAGCCATGAATCAACCTGTTTGATGGCTAAATCAGGTAAAACGCAACTAGTGGAATCAAGAGATGATATTGATGAAAAATTCTTAGCAAACAATTCAGCTTTGTCTTTAAGTGAGGTGACAAAGTCTGAATCATAAAAAAGAGGTGGGATTACAGACTTGCTCTTATTATTGAGACTATTAAAGATTCTCCAGAAGTCACGAGAGCCTAATTTTTGTGATGAAATACAAGATTTCATGACCTGAAAATAGCAGGGCTTGGCATTAGACAAAACATTTTTACAATGGTTCCTAGCAGTAATAAACAGACGTCTGTTTTCTGGAGAATTTTTTTGCTGATAGATATGGAAGTAAAGGTTTTGATTGGCAATTGCAGCAGCACAATGTGTCAATAACCATGGAGAAGAGTGAGGCTTGACCTGGAATCGTTGAAAGGGAATAAAAGATTCCATGCCAGCCTGAATCCACGAAGTTATGTAAGAAGCACATTTGTCAGCAGGAAGAAGAAAAATTTCTACCCAAGCGTTATCACAAAGAAAATCACAGAAAGAGTCCTAGTCAGCTTTAAGGTAGTTGTAAGAGGTACAATAAGATAATAGTTTTAGAGAGATCAAACTGGGATCAGAAGCACCTAAGGGTGAATGTGGAGAAACTGAGCACTGTCTATGATCAGAAACAAGACATAAGTCGAGTAGAGAAGGTAAATGATTTGGGTTTTCTGGAAAGCAAGTTGGAAAGTTGACTATTTGAGCTAGGGATTGAGAAAGGCAAAAGTTGTGGGCTTTAACGCCTGCAGAGTCACTGACACTAGAGCCAAGTCATTTAGTTTAATGAGCATTTAAGTCAACAACAACAACACTATTGGCTGATAGATAAAGAGAGAGAGCTTGATCGATTTGATCAGAAATAACATCAAAAAGAGTGCAGTCTTGAGATGAAGGAGAGCGATATAGAACAAAGAGAAAAGCGATAAAGTGAAGTGGTGCTAAACGAAAGCACATAACAGAATAGTCTGTAGATTCAAATCAAGTTTCCAGACAAATGGGTGAATTCTTACAAATGTAAATGCCAAGGCCAAGCATGTGACTATTGGAGTCTTTTTGAGTTGAAGGATGATAACCATTAACACTAAAATCACAAGATAAGACGGCTGAACTCAAATTACTCTCACAAAAAGCAAGTAGGTCTGGTGACCTTTACAAGAGATAAGACTCAGAAGAAAAGTTGATTCAAAGATCATGATTATAAGTGAATGAAAGGTATAGAGAACTTGGGGTGTATGTTAAAGAACTTGAATTAAAGCATAGACAGTACACAGTACACTGTTTAATAGCCCAAGTAATTGCCTCATTACCATTAATAATCCCTAAGCCATAACAAAGGCCTCCAAATGTGGCCTTGACAATGCACACCAAAAGTACAAACAGGGACACCATCCATGCGCAACATGGCACTGTCAATACTTTGATATTTTTCAGCTGTTAATAGAATTAGCCTCTCTGAGAGCTACTACAGAGTTCGAGAAAACTGACTACCAGCCAGCCTCAGAACCATAAAACTGATTTTTAGTGCTGTATCCTCATTAGGAGATAATATAAAAAGTTGCCTAGTCATAAAAAACAGAGATACAAGGAAAACCATGGATTGAGTCAAAAGATCCAGCATTCAACATCCTAAACTGGAAACAATGTATTAAAAATACATCTGTGCTATCCTGATAGATGAGGTGCGAGCCTGATAGAAGGGGTGCGAGGCTGGTCAACAGATAGAATCTGTTTACCCCTTAAGTAATTGCCTAGGAGGCCTTCTACAAGACAGTAGCCTGATGCATTTAACATCTGCACAAGATTTTTCGAGACACCATCTCTAGCCTTTACTCAACCAAGAGCCTCAAGGCCAGTGGATTTGAAGTCGGAGTTGGCTTTCTCCTTACCTTTGCCTAAAAAAGCGTATCCTACAAGGCAGTAGGACATGAAGCAGATTGTACTGGGTTACATGTTACCAATTGCAGAATAACCTGATCTGACAAAGTATCCTGCTGTATGTTAATGCTGTAACTTACTTAACATAAATTATGCTGTAACTTACCAATGGTATGTTGTAACTTACTTAACATAAATTATGCTGTAACTTACATACATACATACATACATACATACATACATACATACATACATACATACATACATACATACATACATACATACATACATACATACATACATACATACATAAATACATTCATACATGCATAAATACATACATACATGCATACATATTGAAAGTAATGATCTTGATTATATTGATATATCTTGTTATTTAATTTTATCAACTTTTGCAGACAGAAGAGCCATTGAAAACTCAAGTGAACTAAATTGTTTTATTAAAGATCTTACTATATCAGGAGCTGAGCTTCTAACATTGTATTAATTCACTGAATGAATTAATTTTGTTTGAAGAATGATGTAGGTTATCTCTATATTGAGAATGGTATTATGAGTTTGAAATCTGTTGAGATATAAGCAACAATGTTTGCTTCTGCAACTATGTTTGCTTCTGAAAATATATAAACGGCAAGTTTATTGTTTTAGGTTTTAATCATATATCAGCAAATTGTTTATAAACATTAAGGAATTTGAAAACAATGTTACTTTGTAAATGTAATCAATATCCATTAATGCTTCTTTTTAATTCTGTGCCAATGAAATAAAACTATGAATATGTCAAGGATCTTCATAATAAAATAAATTACAAGAAATTTAAATGGACTGTTTATGGTGATTTTCTTGAGATTTTTGCTTTTTTGCTTATTTTACAAGAAATCCTTCTTGCATATGAATGTTTTGATAAATCCTGATATATCAAACATTCATGTTTTCTTTGATTGTGAAATAGTAGAGCAGAAAATGAGCTTAACAAGAACAGCACGCATTGAACTTTAGCCCCCGAAAATAAATTTTGGACAGCAGATTCAATTAAAGTTTTGTTTTTGTTGCTTCATATTAAGCTGGGATTGGAGAAGCATTTTGTAAAAGCAATGATAACAGACTATATGTAATTTTTAATAAGGTTAAAAGTGTTCATAAAAGACAGCCTTAATCATCCGAGCACTTCTATTATAAATCGATTGAATTTCTGTAAAAAGTTTTAAAAACTCAGAACTGATCTAATCTGCATGCTTTTCTTCATCTGCTTTATGAACAATTTAACAAGTTTGTATGCTTTACAAATTTATTAAATATAAAAAATAAATAGTAAAAATAAACTAAAATTACCTTTTACACATTATTTTTTTTATCTATTTTTTATTTATTTAATTTAATTCATTAAAACCTCTTATTTCCGATATTACATTTAGTGTTTTGTTTTGGTGCATACTTAATGGTTTTTATTATGTTATTATGTAGTATTTTTATTGCTATTGTGCAGAAATCTAACCTACTTCGGACGATATCAATAATTGATGGATCAACAATGGAGCTTTTATTTCTAGTTTCAAATTCTTTAGTAAAATTAAAAGAGGTAACTTTTGATTATATATTTTGGTATTTATTAGGTTCAAAAATATCTCAATTTAATCATTGATTTTTATTATAGATAGATGTGGTTGTAAAATTTTCTGTGCATAAACTAACGCCTTCATCTTTGGAATATATGTTTGAACTGGAAACATTTGCGTATGTTACATCTATTTAATTTAAGGGATTATATGAGGGAAATATAACAGTTTATTTAGTTCTTTTTATGATTCTATAAAGGTTATAATATAATAACCTTTATAGATTAATAATATAATAATAAAACTATATGTATTATATTCAGATATATTATTTATTTAAAACTATATACATTATATAGTTTTATCTAATATATATATATATATATTTATATATATATATATATATATATATATATATATATATATATATATATATATATATATATATATATATATATAAAACTATTAAAATTAAATCTAAGGGATTATTTTATGGAAATATAAACAGTTTGTTTAATATTTGTTATGGTTCTTTAAAGGTTATGGTTAGTTATCTACTAAAAACATTTTTCATATTTTTAACCAGAATAAAAATGAAAACAAACTGACACCGAAACAATAACAGAATATTTTAGTTTGTTTTAAATTTATTTGGTTAAATTCAATCAAGATATCAAATCAGGAGTTGAAATAGTTTTTCAATGTCCTTGATTGAATAAATGTTAAAAAACCTCATTTTTATTTATTAGTTAATATATGCATTTATTTATTAGTTAATATATTGCGCTTGTTCGTAAATACACATGCAATTGTGCTTATGAATAGCTATCTACCCATTAGTTTGAACCAGGATTTGTAAATAGTATGCTTCTGCACTTTTTAATGTTATTTTAGTTATAGCATTTTTTATATCTCGATATATATACTCAGTAAAAAATGCTTCCAATTCAACCATGTTATCTTCCATTTTGGTGTTATTCATTCTATTCTTTCTTTGACATTTTCTTTGTATTTTGACTTTCTCTGTTTTATAAAGAAAAGGTTTTAGTTTGACTTAAATATTTATTCTTTATAATATCTATTTTAGGTATAAAATAAAAAAATAAAAACCAAACTGAAATTTGGTTGATCACAAGTTGTAATCTAAAGAACTTAATGGAAATATAATTTAACGCAATACAAAAAAAAATAACAAAAAATGTAAATATATAATAAAAGATTACAAAAAAACATGGGTCAAAATACATATTTTATAATGAAAATTTTTTTAATGAAAACTATTCATGTAATAATACAGATGCATTAAAAAGTTTTCAAATTAACAGTTTTTATGCAATGCAGTATTGTTAATGAATTTATTAAAACATTGAAACCTAATCAAAAATTGAAATACTTAAACAAGTTATAGGTAGAAGTGCATCTTAAATAATGCATCTGGAATAAACATCGATAGCAGCATCTTATTTAACAAAAAATATGAGCACAGAAAAGTACAGGAAAACAAAAGTTATAAAAGTTTATCAGAAAATAAATGTTTTAATTATCTTTATTTGTATTGTATTATTATTTTGATTTTATCTTTTTTCAAATTAAAAATTAAGGTTTTTGTTAAAAATAAAATTATCAAATTTAATGCTTTAATCTCATTAAAGTTTTCTTAATAGTAAGAGTAATGTTATTAGATAAAAATTTTGTCATTGTTGTATTTTAAGTATATCATGCCACTATTTCATCATGAATTTTATGACCACAAATCATATGAAGTTGAAATAACAAAAAGTTTATTGGAAACCAGAAAATATGTAAAAAAAGAAGTTTTAAAAATTAAAAGCATTGTTTGCAGAGAAGTTGAATCAAGAAGAATAACATTGGGCAACAAATTTCATTTTTTTGTGTTTCTATATATTTTTTTGCATGTTAATTCTGAAAATCACTTCAGTTTGTTAATGGTTGTGGAAATAAGGTACAAATAGTGTGTTCCAGCTGGTCCCATTGGTAGAAAAAATTAGAATAATTATTGACATGTAGAAACTACAGTTTACATTTATTTGTTTTAAATTTGAAGCTAAATTTATATGCTTATAACATGTTATTATATAACTACAATTTACATTGAAAAGTTCAGAAATGTGCATTAGATTTTATTTGTCTTTTGTGTGAGGAGACATTACAACATTTCATACTTCAGATATATAGTATTCCATCATAGCATCACCCTATCTTGGTACTGCTTTTCCATTATCTTTCTGGTATGGAAGCATATTGATTTCTGTTGTGTAGTAGTACAGCCTTTAAAGTCTTTATTTCTATCAAAAAGCAGTTGCCATTGATACCATTAGTGTGAGATACCAATTTCTTGAGACAATCTTGTCACATCTGAACAAAAGCAGAGAGATTTTTTGTCTGTAAAGTAATATATTACATAGAATAAAGTATTTTATTACATAGATTTTTATGCAATTTAAATTTAAGTCTTAATTAAGTGAAGATTTTTGTCAAATGGACCAAAAAAAACTTAGCGAGTTAGCAAATGGTTTGATTTAACCAGGTGGAATTTAAAAATAAATGTCATGCTAAATTTAACTTTCAAAAAGGAGAAATAAATAATTGGCTCTCTTGCACTGAGATTTTTAATTTTAATTTATGCATGACGTACTCTATAACAAATATACTTACATTGGTATTGTTTTAGTATTATTTAATATTTAGTATGGAAACTCTACTGTTTAATTAAACATATTTTGACTTCAGCAAAAAAATTTTGCCGAAAATATTTTCTATAAAACCAACTTATAATTTTCTTTTTTGCTAATTCTTCCAATTTTTTTATGATTCTAGGTACCTGGAAGAAAATACTGAGTCCGTTTCAGGGTACCCAGCATAAAGTCCATTTTAAAAAGTTGAAATAAAAGCTTGTGAAATCTCTAGCGCTGAACTGTTTTCACAAAATAACGCTGATTAACTTGCTAATTAAGTTTTCCTAAATATGACAAATTTCTTTTTGATCAACAACTATATTTACACTAGAGGTCACAAATTCAAATTACGCAAACTATAGTGTAAATTTGATAAATGTAAATATTCTTTATCCCTCAAAGTTTAAAATGTAAACTCTACTGTTTAATTAAACATATTTTGACTTCAGCAAAAAAATTTTGCCAAAAATAATTTCTATAAAACCAACTTATAATTTTCTTTCTTGCTAATTCTTCCGAGAGCGCAATTTTTTACTCTCATAACAAAATGCTATTTGTCGTGCCTGGAAGACACAAAAAACAATGTTTATGGGTGTGATATATATGTATACACACACACTCGCAAATATATATATATGTGCCCACTGGAGGTCACAAACTCAAATTATAGTGTAACTATAGTGTAAACTCGATGAATGTAAATATTCTTTATCCCTCAGAGTTGTTAATATTTAGAATAGCTTGCTGCCTGGCGTTACTAATGCCAAAAACTTCGAGAGCTTCAAAACTACAATTAGTTTTATCAACTAAAAAAAGACTCTTTCGGATAACTAATTTTCGTTTTATAATTGTGGTATTATATATTATATTTAATTTTTTGTAATTTGTTGATAAATTATTGCTAGTATGCGCTAATTAATCAAAATTAATTATAATTTACTAAAAATAAAAGATAGATGAGTTACAGAGAATTGCAAAAAAAAAAAAAGAATAGATCTTCTCGATCTTGTAGTGTGAATAAAACAAAAAAATATTTTACGTAATACACGCCTATATTGAATAAATAGGGCTTTGTATTTATTGACTCCATAACACTTTTAAACTTATATCAAGAAGTTTATTGGTTGAAGTTTAAACTAAAAGCAATCCTTTTAGTAATTTTTTGATACAATTTAAAGTACCACTTAAAAAAATAGTTACAGCACTTAAGGTTATTGTTTATTAAAAACTTCTTTTAAAATACCCAGTGCCGGGTATTATTTTTGTTGCATATTATTGCAACAAAATGGCTGATTCTGTGTACCCGGGAAAACAGCCAAATTACTGGATCCCTGAGTCCAAACCAGGTACCCGGCACATCACTAAAATTTATAACAAAAAACAATTAGTTACTAAAACTTAAAAGACATTTAAAAATTTAAACTAAAACTAAATCTTAAAATATGATTACTTTATTCAATAATGTTACTTTTAAGTAAAATAACTAAATACACTATAGAAGAAAGTGATTATTTTTAACATGGTTTTTGCATGCATTAACAAAAGCACAAAAAATTTTACATAAAATGGGTACGTTTGCAATTACTTTAAAAGAAACCAAGTATGATTGCTTTCTTCTATAATGTCATTTTTTTTGAATTTTTTTTATTTTCCTTAAAGTGAAGTAATTTTTGTTTACATATATTAAAAACACTTTTAAAAGTTTTGATAAGAATTTTTAAGTTCTCCTAAAATATACATAATCTAATAGAATATATAAAACTAATATGTTTATTATAGTTTTTGCTTTTTATTGTGCGTTTAACAACACTAATAATATGATATTTTTTTAACTTATTCTTAAATACTTAATATGATATTATCATTTTTTAATGTTTTAAAAAGAAATGTCCAAAAAACTTTACTTTATTTTCAGTTCCTTTTATATATAATTTCTTCAAGTTGATAAGTTTTTTGTTAGTAGATAAATTTAACAAACTAAATTGAAAATATTTTACTATTTATTATCAATTGGTAATAGTTGACAAAAGTTGGTCATTGCATATTAATTATCATTAATTTGCATGTTTTGAAAAAATAAAAATTTATATAATTCAATAAGCATCTTTAATATATCTAACAACTTATTAATTAGAATAAAAATTACCTGAAAATAAAACTCCTATAATTGACATATATCTCATAAATTAGACGTTCGCCAATAAATAAAGATATGAATGTCAGCATTCATTAAAAAAAAAATGATTTGTTGCGCCCTGAGTATATATTGTATACTTAATTTATATTTATATAATATAAATTTAATTACTTAATAACAATTTTATATAAATAATATAATATTATATATGGCTAGTGCAGAACATGTTGGAAAAGCTAGTGGAAGTATTCTTTATTTGTTGGGGAACATTCTCCAGATATTTTTGCCAAATATACTTCTGGCCGGTAGGGGAGTTTTTGCAGTTTACTGGATTAACCGTAGTCATGCAACTGCAGCCAAAACATTGTTATCCAAAATTGGATATCTTTTAGCGAGTACAGGCAATCTTAAATACAGTGGTGGTATGTGGTATGCTGATAGCAGAAATGAAATATCAAGTGTATGCATCATAAGAGAGCTGGTTAACATTTGGAACAAGACAGGCTTTGATGAAAATTTTATGTCGATTAAGTAAGCGACTAAATATAAAAATCTCTTGTCATAAAAATTAAGTGTGAAACATATTTATTTATGAAATATATTTTACATATTATAAATTGTTGACATTTTTTATATGTTGTAATTTTTTAATTAAGGAATAGAACCATTGCTCTGTATACCCAATATATTAAAGTTTTTAAGATGAGAACCCTAGAGATGAACAAAGAAACCATGAGCCAATACACTCAAGAGTTCTTAGACAAGGCCAATGTTTTGTTTCCTATACACAAGGAAAACATTTTCAAGTTAGTTATCCAGGTTCCTAAAAAAAGTAGAGTCTTTAAAGGAGGATTCTATTTTTTTGAGAGATATTTGAAAGGGACATGGTCAAGGTGACCTAAAAAAATGACAAAACATTTGCTGAAATAGTTGCTGAAGGTGTGGAAAAGATGAAAAACCTGCAGAAAAAATTAGAAGAAGAGCAAGCAAGAGACTGAGAGCAAGCAAGAGACTGAGAGCAAGCAAGAGACTGAGAGCAAGCGAGAGACTGAGAGCAAGCGAGAGACTGAGAGCAAGCAAGAGACTGAGAGCAAGCGAGAGACTGAGAGCAAGCGAGAGTCTGAGAGCAAGCGAGAGACTGAGAGCAAGCGTTTTGACAA